TGGATCTCAGTCATAATTAAATCTTTAGAATTTTTCAATGATAATAGGGAGACAATTTGGTCTCTAGACCTCTTATACATGAAGACCATTTAGAATTTTGATATAGATCTGGGTCCTAATTAATTGTAGGATGCTACTTATATATATTAATTGTATAATAAGAGTAGAATGATTATCATGAATTCAAACATACATCTTATACATTATAACTTAAAGAGATTAATGTGTTATTGAGATTTTGGAATGCCCCAGTCTAGAATTATATTTTTCTTTACATACAATTATAATTATACTGATGTGTTATTGAAATTTTGGAATGCCCTAGTCTAGAAATTCTGGAATGCCTCATCTTATGCATTTAATTATATTTTTTCATTTTGTTTAAGAGTTTGAAAATTTGTCCACGTTTTCAGTTCCTCTCCTTCACTTTTTCCGTTTCGCTTACTTCTTTAAGGTTAGTTAATTTTTTTGTTAATGTGATACAATTAAATGTAGTAACCTTTTTTTTTTTTTTTTTTGATAGTATGATTGGAGGATCGATTCTTGCCATCAAGACTTTGTATGGATGAGTGGGGGCTAATATTACAATCAAGACTTTGTATGGACGAGTAGGGGCTAATAAATGTTCAAACTTAATAATTGTGTTCTTGTTTTGCAAAAGATGATTGCTTCCTTTTGAATTTAGTGATTTAGTTTTTTATTTTTTGTTGACTTTATTAGATTGGATGGATCATAACTTTTTTGACATTCGTAGTGACTTAAAGTATTTTGTAGACATGGTACTTTACTTGATGGTTTTGATTTAATGAAAAGTAATGGATTTTAGTTGTTCTATTTAATAAATACATGCATGTTAGGCTCTTCTATTTAATAAGAAGGTTTATAAATTTTTCAACGGCAGTTTATAGATCTAATGTGCAATTTAATTAACGGTGTGGGGTTTAATACCATCTTCAATTGCAAAAAATAAGTTCCTTTTACGAAGGTACCACTTTTGTTCTAAAGGTATCATGTTTTTGAATTGAAGGTATCACTTTTTGGCATTCAGGTATCATGTTTTCTAAACACTCGCTTAGCTAGCTTGAAGAATATTTCGTGTTATTTATGGCGCTAATGGAGCTGTTTATGGTTGTAATGTACAACTTAATTAGCGGTGTGGGGTTTAATATCATTTTCAATTGCAAAAACAATTCCCTTTTACGAAGGTACCACTTTTGTTCTAAAGGTACCACTTTTTGGCATCCAAGTACCATGTTTTCTAAATAAGGGTGATAAGGTAAATGCATTGGAATAGGGAGAAGGGCATTTTAGGTTACAAAAATTTTAAACAGTAAAACTTCATGTGCCATGTCATCATTTAGGTCAAATTTATTTTTGTGAAAACATAAGATTCCATCCATGAGTATGTAAAAATTCCTATTTTTAATACAAAGTTCTGACAACCTTCTGCGATACTCTAAGTAAACTGGTCAACGAGACAGGTTGCTTGGGGGCCGCTGCGTTCCAGTTCTATCACATGTGACTCTTGTACGAGGGGCATGTGATACAAGTCATACAACAGTTGACAAGTTCATTTTCAGTAATAATACTCACCTTTCTTGCATCCTAGTAATCATTAGTTTAATGGTTGTAGGGCCTCGAGCTTAAGGAGAATACAACTTATTTTAATGGTTGTAGGAACGGTTTTTTTTTTTTTTCTGTGTTTTTTTTTTTTTAATCACATATTAATTGTGAGTGTGTAAAAGAAAAAATTACATGTGGAGTGTCCAAAGTCTTTTGAAGCTTTTTTATTCTTCTTTATAGAAATATTACAAATTTAGCAAAAAATAAAAAAAATAAATAAAGTTGTACTATAAAGAAAAATCGTTAATATCATTTTACAAGTTTATTTTTTTAAAAAAAAAAGTTTTTGATTTTACTAGTTCCACCATCCTCCCAAATGAATATTTCCATTATATATATATATATATATATATATATATCAAATTTACAGAGGATGAGAAGTACTACATGTATAAAATAGACTCTTTGGAAATATATAATTATATATATTTCCAAAGAGTCTATTTTATACATGTAGTACTTCTTATTATATATATTTCCAAAGAGTCTATTTTATACATGTAGTACTTCTCATCCTCTGTAAATTTGATACAGCTTAAATCCCATAAGGTTATCGTGAGATGAACAAGAGTCATGCGTTAGCAATGTTTTACTCAAAACTGGGTTCCACTGTTTCTGACAGTTTAAGTCATTGGATTAAGATAATTGTATATTTTGGGGTAAATTATAATGACACCCCCTGAGATTTGGCATAATGACAATCATAAATAAGTTGGACATTTTTTTAACAATAACACCCCCTGTCAGAATTTTGATCCAAACAGGCCCTTAATAGGTTGAAAAAGACGAGATTGCCCATCAATATTTAATTGATTTTAATTATAAAATATCAAAATCTTGAAAGGACATTTTTGCCCTTCTACCCTCCCTCTATCTATCCTCTTTATCTCTCTTTAAACACTCGCCTGAGATCGAGGTTAGGTGAGATGTGGCATATCGTTAGGTCCGGCTCACCGTTGATGGTGCACAGCTCAAACAAATTCGAAGCTCGGAGTGTGTAGTCCAATGCCTTGATCGGGCCATCACCAGCGGTGCTTGTATCACGCGTGAGTTTCAGAAGGAACGGGCTGTGATCAGGTCGAGAGAGGATAACTGACTACTTCAACGACTTCTTCTTGATGAAGCTCCAATTCAGCAATGGTTTGGCCTGTAAAGTCTACAGCGAAGGCGAGGGAGGTCGCCTTAGGACTGGCGGTGCTATCCAGACAAAACGGATCTTGTCAGCGCTAGCGGGCTGAGTATTACGATTACTGTTATGGTTGCTGGAGGCAATGGCTGCTGGTGATAATACATAGGCTGTTGGGGTGGTTGTTGTGGGGGTGGGGGCTGATTCTGATTCATCATCATCCATTGCTGGTACTGTTGGTGTTGATTGTGATTTTGTTGAGGATCCAAGTTTAGCCGGCGGCGACGATTTGGGGTTGGAGAGAAAAATAGTGTCTCAACAGTTTTGGGGTCTCCATTGAAACTGGTTTGGATAGAAATTTTTTGTGATTAATTTGAGAAATTTTTTGTCATTGGATTATAATTGTATGTGTATATAATTATGTATGTGTGTAATACAAGTGTGTGTGTGTGTGTGTGTGTGTGTGTGTGTGTGTGTGTAAATAAGAGAATAAATAGAGGAAAGAAGAGGTGGTGGTGGTGGTAGTGCTGGTGCTGCTGCTGCTGCGAAGAGGGAGTGGAGGCTTTGTGGGTAGGTGCTTGAGATGAAAGGTTATTTTAGACATTTTAGATTGGGTAAATTGGTAATTTTACTATTTAAAAGTCCCACTTCAAAAGTCAAGGGGCATTTAGGTCATTTTAACACATGTCAGACCACTAAGGGTGTCTTTGTCAAAGGGAGCAAAACTGAAGGGGTATCATCGTTCAAAAATAGACTAATTTGTATATGACTGTCATTATAACAAACCTCAGGGGATGTCATTGTAATTTATCCTATATTTTGTGAGATTTTTTAGTTTTTGTACTTTAATGGGCCGAAATATTTAGGGTAAATCAAGGCTGATTTTTGGTCAGCTTGTAGTAATATTTAAATTAATTACATCAATTTTACATGGATAATATCATTCTTAATTTAGTTTAGACGAAACATGTTAGTGGAATTAAAGACAAAAGTACTATGAAATATGTTATTATCCGGTTGTCGAAGTTCTATGTAAAGGAGAATAGAAGCATAATGTAACCAGGGCGACCAAATAGTAATATATAAAAAAGAAAAGACCCAACGGTAATATATATAAAAAAAGGCCCTAATATATATGTGTGTGTGTGTGTGTGTGTGTGTGTAATGTATATGAAAATATGAAAAAAATCCCAGTTGAAATATATATATATATATATATATATATATAAATGACCTTAGGTTTAAAGCAAGTTCAATAATTAAATTAAAAATAAGAACGAAAAGCACAAGTGGCCAATTGAAAGAGAAGGTGCGATGTATATGGGCATAATTTAATAATTTTTCTTGCATTAGCCAACGTGACTATTTAATGGGTCCATAAGTGCGCTGGAAAGGATCTAAAAACCTAATTGTCATGAGCGTGATGTTTCTATCCGTCTTCACTTAAAATATCCCTTATGTTAGATCGACTTGCGACTATGAGGCCACGTTTTCAATGTCATAATTGATTGATGCTTTGAATTTAAAAAAAAAAAAAATTGTTTAAATTAAATTTTTTTTTTTTCCTCCTATTTTTTGAGAGAACCCTCTATATTATATTTTAAAATGAGAAGAAATATCACTGGTGTTTAAGACTTGATAACTGTTAGTTTAGTTGAAAAACAGATAAAATATATTTGAACGATGTCCAGCAAGGTTTTACACTGAAGCTCCTATTGTAATTGGAGAAAAGATTTTAATTTGTTGAAGATACCTCTTACCAAATAATTTGGAGTTAATAGATGCGGATAAAAGCATATTTTCTGGTTCATCCAACAAATATCTTTTTTTGTTCATCCTCCTCTTGAGTCCAATTATGGATGGAAGCAAAATAATGGACATGGAGGGATGCCTTATTCATCATTCAATTTATTCCTCCCGTCTCTGTGTTCTACCAGACAATGGAAGCATGCATGATATTAGGGAAATATTCCAATCCCTTAGAGAGATGTATATGCATGTAAAGGGTAATGCAAAAGTGAATCAAGATAAAGTTATCCCCCTCTTTCTAGCATGGCAGGCATCATGCATGTAACTAATTTAGCACCTCTTACTTCAATTTCTGTAACGCTCTTGACTGAGGACTCATCCTGGGTTTGAACACCATAGATCATTTTGAAATGACAATGTTATATAGAAGTAAACATGATATATTTGAAAAATACTGTTTTCACACGCCTAGGATGTTTTAATTTCAAATAATTAGCGTGCTTCACATGCATAATATAATATTCTAAAAAATCTTATACATCCGGGTGATAATCCTCGTCAAACTGAAACGGGGTATCTTTACTTTTCGAAGAAAAGAGTCCTGGTCCAAAAGTAGAATGGATCATGCCAGCCAATAGTGGGAACTGCAAAGTTGCAAATAATGTTACCGGGATAGCAGTAGCTAGTGCAACAGGAATGATAGCCCATGCCAGTTGATTGCCAAGTAGAACGAAAAAGGTTGCAGTGAAGGCAATAAGCATTGATGCTATAGAAAAGAAGAGGGTTGTAAGACCAATAATCAATCTCTTAGGTAAGGAGGAGAGGAAATCATTTTCGGTACATGGTGACGTGTGGATAGAAAAAAATATAAATGTAGAAGTGACTGAGGAGAAAAGGGCAGATGCGTCTGATATGGCAAAAGTTATAAATAACTTGTCTTTAAGAAAATTGGGGGTGCCTTGGTTACTGTTCCCTCCAGGTACAGTGAAAAGTGCAGCAAACATCACTGTTGTAATAAGCGTAGCGACAAGCATGCATGTTGAGGCAGTGTCCTTCATCCACCTCTCTCCTTCCCTGACCAATTCCCGATGCTCCAAGGTAAATTTCATTCGGGGTGTTTGACCTTCTGTGTTTATCATCTCTCTGTATAATGGTTGGACATTTTTCTCCACTTCCTTTGAATGTCCAGAAGAATAAAACATTACAAAAACAAAATTGCATTTTAAATGAGAACCAAGACTGAAAAATGTTATAGAACACAAACAAACAATTACCTTAAACCATAATAATTCTCGTTGCATCTGAAGTGCGGCACCACACACGACGTTAAGTCGATCTGAAGGAGCCAATATTCCAGCCAAGTGGAGCATGTTATTATTCTTTTTATCTCTATAAGCAGTAATTAAATCTTTGTGTGCTCCTATGCCATAAATAAGTTTGAAGATCTTTTCTTGGCGATGTATAACTGCAATATGAAAGATGGTTCGGCTGTCCTTGTCTACGCTCCAAATTAGATCGGGATGGGAGTGAATAAGCACAGCGACAAACTCAAAGTTTCCAAACTCTACAGCAACAAATAATGGTTGCGAAGGCTTTCTAAGTAATTTCCCCAGATGTAAGTCATCCAATAACAGAGCTTGTTCCCAAAGACACTTGAGCAACCTCAGGGCTAGCGTCAGAAGAAAGGCCAAGTCAGTCAAGGAGCAAGTGAAGATGTAGATAAGAATAAAATTCGGCTTACCTAAAACTTTGGCTGTGTGCCAAAACAGTCTAAATCTTTTTTCTTTTTCATTCTTTTGTAGGTGGTAGTTGCCAAAGTAGTCAAGTAGAGCGAGACTGCAATTCCTAGCACGACTTTTGAATTTATGTTTAAACCTAATGGATTCAGACTCCAAAAGAGCATATGATTATTGTTACTGGGAAAGAAAAAAAAAATCATATTTTGTTGGGAAAACTAAATTTATTAAGTAGGACAATACATTAACTATTATATTTGGCTAAATTTGGGAACTTTTTTTTTTTTTTTTTTTGTGGGAAAATAGTATTCAAATTTTTATCTTTGTTAAATAGATTTATGGTTATGCTTGTAAAAAGTTTTGATCAAGATTGCAAAGTCTAACAAAACGCCATAAATGAATCATATGAGTTCTCAAAAGACACATACAGATAGAGAGTACAGACCTGGGGAGTATTTTTGATTCTGGTATGCATCAGGTGTTAGCATGTGGATCCCTTCAACACAAGTAAAGTCAAGTTAAATTTTCTGAATACAAACTAATGTTACTCAATTTTATAGCTCTACATTCTTTTACCTATTCATATGCGTATTGCCTGGGTTGTTGAGTAAAGCCTACTCTTCCTACAATGGTATCAGAAACCAAATAAGACAAGTTATTTTCCTACATTTTAATCTGAAAGAGACCGTGTGAGTATGTGTCAAGAAGAGCACATTGTCCCATTCTTAGAAATAATTGCCTTCAATCCACACATTTTAAGAGTACGGAACCTCACGTGTTGTAACAACGGGACGGTCCAAATCACTCATATGTGTAGTCACACGTTCGAGTGGTCTGGAGGATCCGGACTCACATTATGTGGTGCTTTTTCTCAAACAATAAAAAAAGTCAAGTCAGTCAAGTCTTTCATTCTGTGTAGACTTGACACCTTACAAATCCAACAATGGTAGTGATGGGCTTTTGTCTCGAGTTGATATAAAAAATTTATTCAATGTATGCAACTGCCATAACAAAAAGTGTCCAAGGGAGCCTTGCACTATATTCCTCGTTATAATTATTCAATTTGGGCATTCTTCTATTTAAACTTGGTTATTGAGGAGGGAAGTCTTCTATCTCAAGTTGTCTGCCATTCAGCTTCCTTCCTCATGATTTTTCCCATTGTGATGAAGTGGCAGTTTTCTATCCCTGAATCCCGGCACCTCATCATCTAATGTTCCTACTGCTATTTTTTGCTAAACCTGTGCACATCAGTTTAATTGAGCACGGGCTAGCTAGTGCTTAAGTAACCTAACCAAGCAAACACAAATATAATGTATAAGCTTTCTGTGTCCCATAAATGATTAACTACAACAGTAAACAACTAATTGCTGAAGATTTTCAACTTTACCATCATTTTCTTCTTCAATTTCACCATTACATTTATGTCTTCCCTGTCACTATTTTCTCCCTCATTTTCCGGTTTCCAAAAGAGAGAGAGAGAGAGAAAACAAAAAAAAAATAAAAATAAAAAGGTATAGAGATCTCCGATCCAAAAAGTAAAAATTCCTTGTCATATTGATTGAGTTATATTTTCTCTCACCGAAATCAACATAGCAATTTTGGCATTCTCTTTTAGAGGGGACTGTCATAATGTCGCGGGCCTGTTTATTAAGAAATCAAGCTTGCAATTCAGGCTAAACTTAAATAAATTTAGCATGGTGAACAACCTTGCTATTGATAATTGAGCCATGACGGTAGTCCAGCAGTTGCAGAATATTCACAACAACTGTGATGTAGGGATCTAGTTGTGCAAAACATTATGATGATTATAGATGTAGTAAGAATATGAATTCACAGAGTAATGGAGAAACTAACATGAAATTATACGTCTCTGCCAGATTCGTAGCTGACTTGTTCCAGAAAAAGCAGAAGGCTTTCGAGCTAAAACATGAAGGGCTGTCTCGCCATTTGAATCCCTTGCAATGGCTAATCTTGGTCGGGGCAGGAGTATTTCCAAAGCTACATCTAAGATTAGCAGGACAGAGTTGATTAGCTTGTTCACTGTAGTTTCTTCAATATGAAAGCATATAAAGTAGAACGAAACCTCACCACTCAAAAAAAAAAAGTAAATGTAACCTTACCATACATTTCAGAGTTGATAGCAGCAAGAAATAATTCGATATAGTCTTCCTCTGTCAGATCTTCATTATCAGTGACAGTGTAGAGAAACTGCACCATGTCCTTGTTACCTAACAAAGCAGCCATGTGGAGTGCTGTCACTCCGTTACCACCCACTGCCGGCAAGTTCGAGTGTTTTCTAACCATAATCTCAGCAATCCTTGTAATTCCCGATGCAGCAGCAAAATAAAGTGCTGTTTTGTTGTACTTGTTTCTCAATTCTAAATCTTCTGTAGCCATCAATTTGACCAACTCCTCAACAAACCTTGTCTGTTTGGCACCAGCTGCAATGTGAAGGGCTGTTTCCCCCCCTTTTGTGATTCTAGCAGTTACTGCATTCGGGTGCAAACTGATGAATTTTTTAGCCTTGCCCCAATCACCTGTGAGTGCAGCTTGATGTAATGGAATATACATGGAAATATCTGCGGTTCGTTGAGCCCCTGACAGAAATTATACAAGTAAGACAATCAAGACAAGACGACTTACGCTAGTGATATTAACAAACATAACAAGTTTCTACCTAATGTTACTAAGAAACTGCATCTGTATATTGAGAAGGCAATGATATATGGTGTGGTTCAGCAGTGGTCATGGTGCGGTACCTGAAACAATTTGTGGTGGGGGCGGTGGAGGAACCACATCAACTCGGATTTCTCCAGAACCATCCGCATTTGGCTGCTGTTCTTCCCAAACATTGGCTCTATCTGCTATTTCCAATTCATATTTGTTTTCTGGGAAGCATGATTCAATTCGTTCCAATTTCTTTGAGCTCATGCCTTACTCTCAATCTGCAACGGATATGACGTTTCAAAAGATGAGAGTGAAATATGGTAACAAAGAGCAAACATCAGGATTTATATATATGCTAATGAAGTCAACATTTGACGCTGAGGGGCAACAAAGAAGCTGCCGTGGCTTGATGAGTCAAGAATTGTATATACAATAGAGGTAAATTACCTGGATAAAGTTGGCTAAATTATTTTAAACTTTTTTGAAAAAAAGCATAATGTGCATTGTGAAAGTACGATATTAATTACCTCAATTTTAATAAATAAATTTTGTTCATCTCACTGCCTCTCTGGTTACTAAATGTAATAAAAGAAACACAAAAACCCGACGTTGCTTCAATTTTTATTATAAAATTGCTGACCTCACTGTTGCCGATGTAATAAAATAAATACAAAATTATGACGTTACAAGTAGCTTCAATTTTTAATAGATAATTATTAGCCACAGGTGAGCAGTGATTCTCTCTCACTGTGAAAATACGGTTGGATCTCTCTGAAAATATCCGTTGCAATTTCATTATGCAGAAAACTGACTCACATTGATCGAATCCTTCCACAGTGGGTAAATTAAGCGCACTCTATGAATTTCGGCGAAAACAGCTTTAATGGTGAAGTAATCGGACAATTCCTAGTAAAGGCTTGATGCCCCTTTTCTCTCTATATAAAATTATATCCTATATATACACATTATATGTATTTATGTATAAACGAATTGTTTGCCGAATTGAATTGATTAGTTTGAGCTAAGGATTCGATGTCGGTGACAGACCCAGTGGTATTCTTATATATAAAAATAAGACCCAATGGTAATATAAATGTATATTAAAAAGGAACCAATGGTATTATTATATATTTATATACAAAAATAAGACCCAAGGGTAATATATATATATATATATATATATTTTCGGTGACAGACCCAGTGGTATTATTATATAAAAATAAGATCCAATGGTAATATAAATGTATATTAAAAAGGACCCAATGGTATTATTATATATTTATATACAAAAATAAGACCCAACGGTAATATATATATATATACATATATATATATATAACACCTTATTATTATATACAAAAAAAAAAAAAAAAAAAAAAGGGAGAAATACCTATTGAGATCGGACAATTGTTTGCAGAATTGATTGGTTTGAGGTAAGGATTCCATGTCGGTGACAGACCAGTGGTATTATTATATATAAAAATAAGACCAATGGTAATATAAATGTATATTAAAAAAGACTCAATGGTATTATATACAAAAATAAGACCCAACGGTAATATATATATATATATATATATATATATATATATATATATATATATGTGGTATTATTATATATAAAAATAAGACCAATGGTAATATAAATGTATATTAATAATAGCAAAAAACACCCCTCTATTTTTTAAGATGTGCAAATAACACACCTATTGTTCAAACATGACATTTCTAGTTTCAAAAAGTTACAAATAAGGACTTCTAATCAAGAAAATTGGCATGTGCCGTGCATGTGACCAAAAGTCAGCCTTTATTACCAAAACTACCCTTTTGCGCTATCCAAAATGCCCTCAGGGGTTTTTTTTGTACACTTTTAAAAATAGAGGAGGTTTTTTGGAAACATGAAAATGATTTTTAAATTTTGCTATTCTCTCCTCTCTAAATAATTAATTTCTAAATATATAATATATATAATAACCAAACTACATTTTACTCATTTTCTCTCTCATTTCTATATATAATATATATAATAACCTTATTTAATTAATTTTATTTCTATAAATACTCTATATATAATACACATATTATATATAGAGTAGTGATCTCTTGCTCCCTATGGAGTAAGAAAATTCTTCCGCACCCTTTACAGTGACCATTAGATTAAATCGGTCACCATTAATTATAATAATAAGTACTAAAAAAATAAAAATAGAAATCTCTTCACCTCTTGAAATCACGTCTCATCACTAATTGGAATTATATTTTCTTTAAAATATATATATATAAGTGTTAGAGAATTGCATCATGACTTAATACTAAAGTTGACATTGTGTATTTGTTTGAGTGTGAAAAAGAAATTAAAAATTACACTATTGACATACAAAACATCAACTAAAAAAATAATTAAAAAATTAAAAATAAAATATATATTTTTTTATCCACTTGATTAACTTAAGGTAACATGTGATTTGCACAACACTTCACAATTTAAATTATTGTATACCTCCCTAAATGCATGCTATTTAGAAATTAGAAATTCAATCTATTGTTCTCTAACCCATTTGTCACAAAATTGTTTCATCTTTCTTGTTAATTTTGTTTTATTTTATTTTAGATTTTAACTAGTTGTAAACACATTCCAATTACTCATATGTCATATTAAGTCGTACAAAATCTTTTTTCTAGTTCTACTATAATAACAAAAATTTATTGACATAATGAGAAGATTCACGACAAAAAATTATATTATTCTATGAAATTTCAGAGATTTTCGTTGTAAATTAGTTGTTTTTCTTAGTTTTTTCTTTAATATTGTTATTATTATCATCCTTTTTTTTTTTTTCACTATCATCATTTTTTTTTTTTGGTAAGCAAAAAAAGTATGAAAGACTGTTAATATGTAAAGTAATAGCAAACACATCAAAGAAAATAAAAATTCATATTAGTGGTGGAACGACGTTCCAGAGGTGAAACGATTTATATTTTTATTTGTTTGGTACTTACCTTCTTATAGTTATAATTAGTGGTATTGATAAATTTTAAATTTAGAAACTAGAAATAATGATAGTGGTTTTATATTAAAAGGAAAGTATATAGATGGGTTAGGAATTTGACTATTAGATTTAATCTAATGGTCACCATAGACAGTGTGGAAGAATTTTCTTGCTCCATGGGGAGCAAGAGATCACTACTCATTATATATACATATATATATATATAGAAATATGAGTATTATATATAAAAATGAGAGATATAATATAAATAGGAGAGAGAAATATGAATATAATGAGTAATATATATATATATATATATATATATATATATGTATATATATTTATTTATCTTTCTCTACGTTTTTTTCTTCTTATTTGTATTAATAAATTTTCTTTCTATAAATAATCTATATATAAAACACATTTTTATATGTAATACTCATTATATTTATATTTCTCTTTCCTATTTATATTATATCCCTCATTTTTATATATAATAATCATATTTCTATATATATATATATATATAATGTGTATTATATATAGATTATTTATAAAAAAAAAAAATTTAATTGATACAAATAAGAAGAAAAAACGTAAAGAAAGAAAATATATATATATAATGTGTATTATATATAGATTATTTATAGAAAGAAAATTAATTAATACAAATACGAAGAAAAAAAGTAAAGAAAGAATATATATATATATATATATATATATATATATATATATATATAATACTCATTATATTTATATTTCTTTCTCCTATTTATATTATATCCTTCATTTCTATATATAATATTCATATTTATGTATTTTATTTATTTTTTCTTTCCCTGTAATGTTTTTCTTTTCATATTTGTATTATTTATTTATTTTCTTCTCCCAATGTAATAAAATTTTTCTTTTCTTATTTTTATTCTTTATTTTCTCTCTCTCTCTAAAGATTCTTTCTCTCACTATTTAACTGTTCAGCAGCGTCATCTCCACCGGCGGCATCGCCCTCTTCCACTAACGCTCACCCAATTCCCCCCACCTCCGCCAAAATTCTACCGAGCTCAGTTCCATTGCCACCATCCTCCACTGCTGCTACCCCACACCTTGTAACTTCTTTTTTTTTTTTTTCTCACCCACAAAACCCTCCTCTAAAATTCCTCAATCATAACGGCCAAGTAGTCTTCATTGACGAAAACTCATACTTGGTTTGCAAAATTGAAGTGAAACATCCGAAAATTGAAACCTACTACGTTCAATTCACCACCAAAGTGAGCGATTTATACAACCTTCTCCATCACGCGAGAGAGCAAATTCAGAAAGAGTGTAGGCTCTTCTCGGACTGCAAATTGGGGATTATATTCTGCTTTCCAATCATGTGTACGAAGTGGTTGGGATGTGATTTTGGTGGATGAGCAAAGTGGGAATTTTCCGACTGCGCCGGGGTGGATGGCCTCGATATTCACCGCCGGCTGGCGTGCTAGCGAGAAGCAAGGGAGGAAGCGGCAGAGGAAACACCCTTGTGTTTGTGCAGGATGTGAATAGGGAGGTGGAGAGATTGCTTCATTTGAACAAGACTTTTTGTTTGTTTAAATTCAGTCAGGGGGTTCTTCAATTGTATTCCCACGTAAGAAAATGTTTCAGTTTTGAAAAAGCCCTGAATCAATCCTTCAAATCCTGTTCTGGAAGACTGCCTTGGATGGATGGTTGAATATATGTTAGCAACTTGCCTCAGAATTGGTATATGTGGAAATCTTTCTGTCTTTGTTTGTGTTGGTTGTGAATCAGAGGCTGAGTTTGGGAAGAAGAAGTATAGCCCTATTTGTGTTTAATTACCCAAAATTTACAATTTTGTATGTTATTAGTGTTTCATTACCCAAAACGACGCGGTTTAGAATTGTGTCTATTTGGGTAATTTCAACTTCTAACAATTTATTATTATTATTGTATAAAGAATATTTGGGGCATTTTTGTATATTTACATAGCCCTCCAACAAGAATTTCTTATTTGCACAATTATGAAATTACAGGGGTGGCCTTTGAATA